CCAGGGGTCGCAACCCACAGGTTGAAAACTGATGAGTTGGAGAACCTGTCTCAAGGGAATAAGGTGAGATTGGCAGAGCAGGCCACCCAACATCCATCAGCTCACTCACACATGTGTGCACACACACCACACACACACACACACACACACACACACACACACACACACACACACAAAACGAGAATGTAACTACCAAATGACCCAGAGTAGCAACCCTACGTATATACCAGAATGACAGAAATCAACATAATCACAAGAGTCAAGATACAGAACGAGTGAGATGCCCACCAATAGAGGAATGAGTGAAGAAAGCGTGATGCGCATACACATGGGGCGGGGCGGGGCGGGGTGGGGCGGGAGAGGGGGGAGGTAATTCAGCCTCGAAGAAGATGGAAATGTTGTCACTTTCATGAAAATGGTGAGAGTCAGCAAGACAAACACCACATTGTCTCTCATTTGTAGACCCTAGAGTTTATGGGGATGCATTAAGACAACTGTTGTATATGATATAAAAGCAGAAGAGAGACCAGGAGAAGGACGGAGACTCGGGAGGGAGAAAATGGAAACAAGCGAGACAGAAGAGGGTATGGGGGTGAATATGGTCAGAGCATACGAGGTACTTGACAGAAAGTGTCTTATGAACTCTGACAGTGTGTGCAATCACTGCACACCAATTAAAAACGCAGCAAAGAAGATCATCAAGATAGCTCAGTTGCCACGTTGCTTACAGTCAAGCCTGATGACCTGAGTTCAATCCCAGGGACTCAGTCAGTGGAAGGAGAGAACTGACTCCGGACCCCTGCAAGCGTTCCTCTGACTTCCATGCACATATGAGTTAATGAAGGTTTCAAAATACTAATGAATAATAAATAGTTATGTCACTGACCTCTTTAAAATTTTCCAGAGCCACCTCTCAACTCAGCATCAACTCCAAAATCCGTATGGGGACACTCCGCACACCGCATGAACTGGTTCCATGCATCTATAAACTGGTCTCCTGCTCCACCAGCCGACCTCCTACTCATCGAACATACCCAGCGACCTTGGCACAGGCTATTCCAACCCGTGTCACAGCCCTCCATTTGTGGCTTCATACAATTCTGGCGTCAGTGTAAATGTCTCCCCAGGAAGACATTTCTTGCCCATCCAATGTCAAGTCGCCCTTGCAACTCAGTGATACCCTGTTATTTATTTCATTTTATTTTTAAGACAGAGTTTCCTTATGTCACCCATGCTAGCTTAGAACATGCTACAGAGCCCAGGCTGACCTCAAACTCACAGCCACCATCCTGCCTCAGCTTCCCAAGCGCTGGGATAATAGATGTGTACTGCCGCACCCTGTTTCTGTCATTCTATTTTGATTTTTTTTTTTTTTTTTTTTTTTTTTTTTTTTTTTTTTTGGTTTTTTCAAGACAGAGTTTCTCTGTGTAGCTTTGGTGCCTGTCCTGGATTTCACTCTCTAGCCCAGGCTGGCCTCGAACTCACAGAGATCCGCCTTTTTATTGTGTCTTACACCTCCAGACCATGAGAGCACCGCCTTCTGACTGATGAATTCACAGCTTTCCCTGGAGCTTGGGAGAGACTCTTTGTACACACCAATTGGATGAATGAAGGAGTCTCGAGCACCTAGATTTGTGGAGCATCAGATAAAGCAACCTACTTTTCACTGGCCACATTCACAGCAGCAGAGATCCCTAATGAGACATTTTAAAATAGGTCACTACCTTCTCCCACAGTCTAGGCCTGGAGACCAGCTCACAGCCGTGTCTACAGGAAAGCAAACCAATTACGTACACAGCCTTGGCGAGACTTGAGTACTCTTTCTCCACCCTGTCACCTAAACCAGCCCACTCACCTGTGGTGGTTATTGTCAGACCCTCCTCTGCCTCCTACGTCAAGTGGAAATTAGTAAAGCTGGTGTGGCAATGCACACCTGGAAGCCCTGGACTGGGGGGACGGAGGGCAGGAGAATCAGGAGTTCAAGGTCATCTATCAAAGTCAGCTTGATCTACACAAGAGACACCCTTTCAAAAGAATAGAAAGAGAGATGGAGAATGGGAACAGGAAAAGGGAAAAGAAAGAAGGAAGGAAGGAAGGAAGGAAGGAAGGAAGGAAGGAAGGAAGGAAGGAAGGGATCGAGGGAGGGAAGGGAAGGAGGGAGAGAGGAAGGAAGGAAGGGAGGAAGGGAGGAAGGAAGGAAGAAAGGAAGAAAATAGAGATTGTTCCAGAAAATGACTTCTCATCCCCATGACCTTTGAGAAACTTACCCCTAACCAAACACTGCCATCAGATGTGCCCTCGAGTGTTAAACATGCAGAACACACACCCAGTCATCACAGGTGCGAACTAGGCTGGACAGGGGCTGCAGAGAGGTCTACACGGATAACGCAATCTCCAAACAAGCATGAGGACCAGCGTTCAGCTCTCCAGAACAGTGTGCATAAGTGGTGGGCAGGGCAGGCTACCCATAAATACTTGGAAGGGAGACAGGTGATCCCTCCAGGGAGCTGGCCAGCTTGACTAGCCCAATCAGTGAGCTCTGGGTTCAACTGGGAGACCATGCTTCTGTGAATAAGGTGGAGAACCTTGAGGAAGACTCCAAAAAAAAAAAAAAAAAAAAAACCTCAGGGCCTCTGCTGCATGCACCAGTGTGCAAGCCCACCTGTGCACACACACACACACACACACACACACACACACACACACACACATGTAAAATGTTGGGGAAACAGGAAAGGGTTGGAGATCACTTGCTTGCACACACCCACATTGAGGAGGCCCTGGACAGTTCTAGCCTCCAGGATCTGTCTGGATGTCTGTGAGTTCAAGGCCACACTGGGCTACATGAGAGAAACAGAACCAGGCAGTGGTGACACATGTCTTTAATCCTGGGAAGTAATATGGCAAGACACAGAAAGGTATATAAGGCATGAGGAAACAGGAACTTGCTCTCTGGAGGCTGAGGATTTCATAGAGGTAAGCTAGTGGCTGGCTGTTCTGCTTCTCTGACCTTTCAGCTTTCACCCCAGTATCTGGCTCTGGGTTTTTTTATTAGAACACCTTTTAAGATTCGTGTTACATCTATGTCTGTAAAACACCGATGCTCCTGTCTCGGCATTGGTCTCACCCACCGCCCCTCATGCTTGTCTGGTCCACAGCATTGGCAGCACCGGTGTCCAGGCCTCTGGTTTTTCACCTTCAGAGACACATCTCCCGATATCACTCAAGCCCTAATGGAAAAATGGATCCTAACCAAAGACTCCTGCCTAACGCCCAACCTCTTTGGTTCCTCTCTTGTCTCAACCTTTAAGCTCAAGAACTCCAAACCATCCCTTACTCTCTAATACTGTATTTTGGCTTTAGAGGTTCAAGTTGACAGGATCTCATATATTCTGGGCTGGCCTTAAACTCACTATGTAGTTTAGGGTAACCTTGAACTCCTGCTCTTCCTGCCTCAGTCATCATCCCACAGAGTGCTGAGACTTATAAGTGTGCACCACCCCGTGCCATTTATGAAGTGCTGGGGATCTAAAGGAGCTCTGCGTATGCTAGGCAGGTGCTCTCCCCACTGAGCCGTATCCCCAGCCGATGTGGGATGTGTAACAATTAAAAAGATAAATCACTTTGAAAACCCCAGGTTAGAAGCAGCCGCTGCATTTGGAGTCTCCTCCTTCCTGGCTGCACCGAGAATCAGCCTCACCTGGAGCCTTTAAGCCAGGAGGACGGTTTCATTGCTTGAGAGTCAGGGAGCATGCTTGTCTTAAAAATCCCACCGACAACTGCTGGGTTGTAACCATGAGCGGAGATTGCCGATTCTGACTACTGACTGGCATCTAAGCCTCGAGGGAAGGGCAAAGAGAGGCCACCCATCCTGTACCTGTGTGAAATGATCTACAATAATAACTATGGCAAGGAGGGGAAGGAGAAAAGAGAGGGGGAAAGAAGGGGAGGGGAAGAAGAGGGGGGAAAATAAAGAGGTGGAAGAAGAGGGAGACGAAAAGAAAGAAGGAAGGGACCTAACTGGGCTGAGGATGTGGCTCCGTTAGGACAGGGTCTGCCACGCCTGCGCAAAGCTCTGGGTTCCATCTGCAGCCCTGCTTCCATGGGCCATGGTAGCACATGCCTATTATCCCAGCACTCAGGAGGCTGGGGCAGGAGGATGCAAGTTTGAGGTTATCCTGAGCTACAAGCCAGATCTTGTCTCAAGAAAAAAAAAAAAAAAAAAAAGGAGTGGGACTTAAAGATCTGACGCTCATCATCAGAGCCAGAATTATCTAATAAGAGCCAGCTCCCCGCTGGTCCCCCTCCCACTAGGTAACGGGTTAACAAGCTCCCCCACTGTACATACAGCGTCAAGGACCAGCTCACAGAACCACTCCCATGTCAGTGACCCCCGGGACACACTGGCTCCCCCGAGCACATGTGCCCTGCTAAGGCAATTTCTAAGCTGGGTCTGATAGCATGGACCTGTAATTCCAGCACTGGGGTCAGAGGGTAGAGCAGAAGGATCAGGAGTTCAAAGTCACCCTCGGCGACACAGAAAAGTAGAGCTCACCCTGAGCCACCGAGCTCCTGTCTCAAAGGAAAGGGAGGGAGGGAGAGAAAGAAGAAATTCTAAATTGGAACCCTTTCCTGCCTGGTATTCTAAGTCCTAATCGCAGGTTTTGTAATGAGAAGGTAAGTGATAAATTCAAAAGGGTAGCTATCGGGCTGGGGAGGCAGCTTCGTCGGAAAGGGTTTGCTATACAAGCGGGAGGCGCTGAGCTTGATCCAGACGTGGCGGCACACACTTCTAATCCCAGAGATGGAGAGACAGAGCCTGGAGGATCCCTGAGGCTTCCTAGCCAGCCTCACATATTTAGCAAACACACACACACACACACACACACACACACATACAAACACTATATATATATATATATATATATAAAATATTCAATATAAGAAATTTTTTTTTTTTTTTTTTTTTTTTAAAGATTTATTATTTATTTATTATGTATACAGTATTCTGCTTGCATGTATCCCTTCAGGCCAGAAGAGGGAGCCAGACCTCATTACAGATGGTTGTGAGCCACCATGTGGTTGCTGGGAATTGAACTCAGGTCCTCTGGAAGAACAGCCAGTGCTCTTAACCTCTGAGCCATCTCTCCAGCCCAAGAAATTTTTTTAAAAAAACCCAAGATGGACAGCAGCTGATGAATGACCCGACAGACAAGGTTGACCTCTGACCTCCACACTTGTACACCCACACACACCTGCACACACACAAACATGAATGCAAAAAAGGAGCAACTATCAGATACTCCTACTCTGTCCCACTGTCGGCCACAGAGAAAGGGGGTCCAAGGGTCCCCATTAAGACTTAACTGTGATTTTTCTCAATGGTACGAGCTGAATTAAATTATTGCTTTCTTTGTTGGTTCACTTGTTTGGACGCAGGGTCTAACTAATGTAATTGGTTGGTTAGTTGATTTAGACACAATCTCACAATGCAGCCCAATCTGGCCTCAATCCTCCTGCCTCAGCATCCCAAGTGCTGGAGTTACAAGCCTTAGCCACCATTCCCGGCTACTCATTTTCTTTCTAGGGAGCTTCTATCCCACTCTCTCAGTGAAGTCTGGGTTGGTAGCAATAGTCACTTTCGGGGTCTGAAGAGAGGTGACATGTCGGTGAACAATCCTAAAACGATTCTCAAAGGTGCCCCAGCTGCTTCGATTAAACCCCAGCAAGCTTCAACAGGCTCCGAAAATGCCACCTTTCTGAAGCCACTCAGCTCAGGAACAGCCTTGGGCATCTGCCAGAACCCTATGTATTCCTCGGAGAAGAAGCAAGCAATCTCCATGATCTGAGCCCCGTGGGTGAACGCTAAACTAAACACGGTGGCAGTGGCGAGGGAGCTGCCTAGAGGCCTGAAGGGTCACATAAGACTTCAGCCAGTGCAGAATTAGCAAATAAAAACCAACTCTAGGAGGTGGGTACGTCACACTCAGTGGTAGAGCATTCCCAGTATATGTATACGCGGCCTTGGGTTTCATCCCCAGTAATGCAAAATAAAAAAACTAAATAAATAAAATCAGGGCTAAGAGATGGCTCAGGGGTCAAGAAGGTTTGCTGCTCTTGCCAAGAGAACCTAAGTTTAGTTCCCAGTGCCCATTTCAGGTGGCTCAACTGCACAGTAACCTCTACTCCATGGAAATTTCATGCCTCTGGACACACACACACACACACACACACCCCTCAAATACGTACATAAAAATAAGAAATTAATAAATAATAAAAATAAGTCACTCTCTCCTTTCCACTTTGCACCAATAAATAAATAGATAAATAAATAAGATGTTAAATCACCCCCTCCAACAACCCCAAGGACAGCTGGAGTGGTGGTGTCTCGCTGTCTTGGTGGAGTGGACAGCATGTCGGGCACCACCCTGTAAGACAATTTCACACCAAACGGCTTTACAACCTCTACTAAGCTCTGATTCCTGTGGTTTTGTGTGAGTATGTGTGTGTGTGAGTGTGCGTGTGTGAGTGTGTGTAAGTTGATCTTTGCGACTGGGAGACAGCAGTTAGATGCAGAACACGAGTCCCTCCACGTGCACAAATGCCGTGATATTGAGCACACGCGAGGGGTTAGCACAGTGCCCTGCTCTTTCTACAGGTCTTGGGAACTCGGCAGTCCAGGCTCCACCTGGCCACTGCAGAATGTAGTTCATACCACAATTTATCAGACTTCACAACCACACAGCACCGGCTCTCCCGGCTGCTATGTCTTGAACCCAGGAATGTCTCCTTTTTATGTTTTAAAAAAAAAAAGCCCCTGGGGCCTTGGGATGGCGCCCCAGTCTTGGCGCCTAAGGAACTGCATGCAGACACAGCTTCCCCAGGAGCTAAGGAATGAGGCGCAAATGGGATCTCACAGGCTCCTCGTGCAAAGGAACAGTTTTGAGAAGAAACGCCCCGAATGGGGGGCCGAAGGTGCACGTGGCCCGCACTGTGGAATCAAACCGCAGCGCGGGGTCCGGGCTTAGCACCACCTGCCCGTGGGTCGAAGCATCCTGGGGTCCTCCAGAGCCCCGAGACTGGACTAGAACTACCTGCTGCTGCCCAGGCGCCCTCAGACCAAGTCTAAGGAAGTTCACTCCCCGGAGCGCTGGTATGGAGAAGCTGGGCATCCCAGCAAACCTGGCTTGCACTACAGAGGCAGAGTCTACCTCTGCCCTGGATCTGGATTAGCTCCAAAGCTTGCCACTCGGGTCCTGGTGGGACTGCCTAAAGCCTCTAGGGTCACCCTATGCGTTCCAAGACCACCGATCCTGCCCAAGGGGGCGAGCATAAGGGGTAGGGAGCTGGAGATGGAGTGAACCATACCTCCCACCTCCCCCTATAGATCGCCATGACTCCAGCTTCTCGGAGACCATGAAGCCACCAAGGACTCCCACTCAGACTGAGATGCGGATCGGATCCCTGACACCCAGAGCTCCCTTTCCCACAACCTGGGCGCCCTGGGGGGGGGGGGGGGGCGGGGGGACGCGCAGCCCAGTGGCCACCGGCACCCAAGACTCCACAAGCTGGCACAGTCCCGGGATCCCCACGAGTGGACCCAGGCCCTTCTGCAATTCCAGCGTCCCTCACTCACCCACCCTAAGCATCAAGAGAAATCGGGGTGGCATGGGTGATACCCCGGCCCTGAGAGGTGGGGTGCTAAGACCGGGGCCAACAGGTCTAGGAGGCGCTTGTGGGCAGCACACCCGCCCACTCCGAGATGCACCAGGGCAGGGGCATCCGGGGAAGGGACCGTGGAAGCAGCGAGAGAGGTGAGGATGCAGGGAGGATGCGGGATGAGGACCCGGAGAGAGCAGCACTCACCTCTCTTGGAGCCCGGGCTCCGCTGCCCGGCTGCCCAGGCACCTCCTCCGAGGCCCGCAGGGAGGGGGCGACGCGAAAGCAAGCGCTCAGCCTGGCGCTCACACGCGTCCCTGCGCGGGCATCCTTCCTCTCTGTCGCCGGCTCCCACGGCGTCCCCCCACTCCGGTTGGGAGGCCGCTTTGCCCAACCCAGCGGCGCGCCTAGGAACCCCGCGCAGCGAGAGTCTTTCCTTTCCCTTGAGTCTCTGCTGATCTTTGCAGAGCCCGCGATGATCCAGGCTGCTCCTTCCTCCCCTGCCCTTGTCCTCGCCTCCCCGTCTGGGGAAACGTGCGCCCCGCACCCCCTGCACCGAGCTCGCCTCTACCCCTCCCGCGCCCGCTGACCGCGCGGGCTCAGCCCATGTGCGCGGCTGCCTCCTCGCTGCGCCCCGGAGCCCAGTGGCCGAGGCCCCGCCGGAGTTGCGCGCCCCAGAAACTCCATGCAGCTCCGGCCTCCTCCCCAGTGCCTCCCCGGCTCCTCCCGAGGAGAAGCCTAGCGGTCTCTAGCAAGGCGATCCCCTTCCACTCTTGCCTTCTTTCCCCCCAGAACCTGAAGCCTGGTTACTGGGCTGGCTTGGCCACCCCAGTCTCTCCCTGCTTTTCTCCCAGGATTGGGGAGCTCCCACCCCCCACCCCCAAAGCCTCTCCAATGGCTCCCTCCGTTTCCAGGCAGCGCAACCTGAGGAACGCCTCGGTGCGCGCGCACTCACTCCTCTCTCTCTCTCTCTCTCTCTCTCTCTCTCTCTCTCTCTCTCTCTCTCTCTCTCTCTCTCTCTCTCTCTCTCATATACACACACACACACACACACACACACACACGTGCACGCTGCACACACAGGCAGACACAGGCGGGGCGGGGGGGGGGGGGCGAGCTGCAGCTTAGCATCTGACCCTCCTTCCTCTCCTCCCCAAAGCTGCCCACGTTCACTTTCGCCAATTGCTTGTTTCTATTAAACACCTCAACCCCAACCCAGACATGCCCACCCTTACCTTAACTCCTTCTTTCCCGATGCCCACAGTTACACCTGAGTCCCCAAAATCCATGGGGGAGGAGAAGGTGTCGCCGGAAAGGCTGATAGTCAAAACTAGGGTGAGAGCAAAACACTGTGGGTCATCCCTTCACAACATCTAGAAGGGCATAAGAATGCCCACCCACCTCTCACCTTGCATCTCTAGAGTCTCAGAACACGTGGCCCATCCTCACGTCTACCAAGGTCATAGTATAGATTCCATGAGAAAGAATGGGTACCTTGACACAAGGTGTGGGTTGCGAACTTCACAGAGTGTTTGCACCCTAACCTGGAGCTGACTTCCTCTTAAGTCTACACCCAGACAGAATCCGGGTCCTCCCTTGTCCCACACTTGAAGGGCAACAGTTAGCTTAGAGTCACCACTTAGCTTTCCTGGAGGCCATGTGGCTGCCGTCCAGGTGTCCAGCTGCTGACAGGATACGTCTTATCAAGAAAAAGACCAAAGTCCCAAGACCCCTCCCCAGCAAAAAGCTCATGTGGCCCCTTCCTGTTCCTGCTAGGCTGAGCTAAGAGAGAAAGAACCACCCACCAGGCTGGTGCCAGCTAATCTTTCCTGACATCACCTTTCTGTCGGAGCCTCCAGGGTCTTACTCCCTGCGGGGACCACGAATCTGAGCTCCGGAGCCCACACTATGAGAATCAAAGATGTGGGGGGAATTTTTACCCCCATCAGAAACAGAATGGGAAAAGTCATCCGTAGCATTTCATCTAAAAAGCTTGGCCATCACCTCTCCATCGGCTGGTCCTGCTGCCAAGGGAGTTTGGGCATTGGCACTGACAGCCAGTCACACTAGTTAGTCAGGATGCCCTCCCCTGTCTATGCCTCCTGGCTTGTCTCCCGAGTACCCAGTTTTTGAGTCCCCGGCTGTACTTGCTACTGGTGGTAACACCTTTGACATTCAAGATTTCTTAGCACTGGGTATTACTATCTTTTCATGTCCAAGCTTTCCCTCCCAAATTGTCTTGTAGCTTTCTTGGGGAACCAGGTGAGGTGTGTGTGTGTGTGTGTGTGTGTGTGTGTGTGTGTGTGTGTGTGACTGATGTGTATAAAAGAGGTTTCCATAGAGAGTGACGAATAAGCAAGGTATGGTGGTGCACACCTGTCATCCCAGCACTCAGGAGGTAGAGGCAGAGAATCTGGAATCAGACGTCAATCTGCTGCTAGTGCGTTTCTAGGCCAGCCTGAGCTACTATGTGAAACTCCGTCAAAAAAAAAAAAAAAAAAAAAAAAAAAAAAACAGTATGGTATAGAGGGGGGGAATTCTCAGTGTACCTTTTTGTGTGTGGATGTACGGGTGTGTATATGAATGTGGAGGTAAGAGGACAACATAGATGTTATTTCTCAGTTACCATCCACCTTGGTTTGGTTTGGTTTGGTTTGGTTTGGTTTGGTTTGGTTTGGTTTGGTTTGGTTTGGTTTTTGAAACAGGGTCTCTCATTTTTACTTGTAGGCTACACTCTGATTGGCCAGAAAACTCCAGGGATCCCTGTCTCCACCTTCCCGGTGCTGGGATTACAAGTGTGTACTGCTGTACCCACCCAGTGTTTTGCATAGGTTCCTGGGATAGAAGTCAGGTTCTCTGCCGTCTGAGACTATCTATCTAGAGGGCATCTCTCCGTGTAGCCTTGGCCGCGAATTCCTGAGATCACCCTGCCTCAGCCTCTAGTGTACTAGAATGGCAGGTACACATCACCACTCCCAGCTGAGAGGTGTAATAATCTGTAGACCTTTCAAGAAATTGACTTTTAGGATAGAATGCAGACCAGCAAAGCCCAGTGACAAAGCTACACACACACACACACACACACACACACACACACACACACACACACACACGGAGTTCCTAGTGGGGGTGGGCATGAAGAGGAGTCAGCCACATGACCAGAGTAGGACACACTTGGCAGAAGTTCTCACTCTGTTCTCCCTGCTGCCTATGGGCAAGTTATCTGTTCTTTCTGAATCTTGCCGTTCTCATCTGTAAAATGGGAACAATGCTAGCATCTACCCCTTTAAGGTCTTCGTAAGGATTAAATGCCACCCTGTGAAGTAACAGTATACTAAAGGTCACTCAGCTCCAAGCCTAAAGTAAGCTTCGACAAACATGGGCCTTTGTTGCTGTGTGGTGAGAATCCTCATCCTGAGCACGTCTGCCCCCTCTTCATATTGTCCCGGTGACAAACCGTTCCCCCAGAATTCAATCTGGGGAACCAATGACTTTATTGGACTTAACTTAGAAAGCATGAGTGAGGAGGTGACTGACAGGACTGTGGGTGACCCCAAAACAGCCACAGTGGAGAATCTTTACCCAGGCTGGATGATGATTTTCCTATAACTATATAAATGAGCCCCCCCTTTAATCAACCTTCCCTAGACTCTAACACAGTGGTTCTCAACCTTCCTAAGGCTATGACCCTTTAATACAGTTCCTCATCCTGGGGTGACCCCCCACAACCATAAAGTTATTTTTGTTGCCACTTCATAACTGTAATTTTGCTACTGTTATGAACCATAATGTAAATATTTTTGGAGATAGAGGGTTGTTGTGGGGGTCACGACCCACAGGTTGAGAACTACTGCTCTAACACGTTTGAGATTCCAAAGACCACTCACAGTTAGGGCCAAATTGAATACAGATGGCTGAGAGCAGTGGTTGGAATCTCAGGAGAGAGTTCAACCGCCCTCCTGGAATGGAACACCAACAGTTAACAAGCACACTCTTGCCCACAAACAGAACTGAGCTGATTAAGAAGGCAGCTGTTTTGCATAAGAACCCACGTTTTACCAGGAGTTAACACATATCAAAGATGTGACCTGGAGGAGGGAGAAGTCAAGGGTCTGTCTCCTCAGGAGACAAAGACCCCAAGAACTGAAGGAAAGTAGCAGACTTTGGGGCTCATGGCAAAGGTAGCATTTCTCACTGTCCTCACCAACCACAACTATGGAAAGAGTTTCGAGTTAAGGGAGACAATGGGCCACAGAGCCTGACATTTGTTTTAACTTTTATTGTATAAATAGAACATACACAAATGTGTAACATACACACACACACACACACACACACACACACACACACACACACACACATTTGCTAGTTAAATAAGAGTGGGGATTTGGCTAAACAGCAGAGCCTAGAATCCCCCAGTGAGGGGCTCAGGGCAGAACTCAATGGTAGAGTACCTGCCTAGAATCCCCCAGTCAGGGGCTCAGGGCAGAAGTCAATGGTGGAGCACTTGCCTAGAATCCCCCGGTGAGGGGCTCAGGGCAGAAGTCAATGGTGGAGCACCTGCCTAACATGCACAAGACCCTGAGCTCCATCCCCAGTACCATAAAGAGATGTTTTGCCAGTTATAGAACGGAGGCTGAAACCAACACAGAACAAAATGAACCACAGGGACTTGATTTCATCACGCTTTTGTAGCTGCCCTTAGCATTAAGCATTGTCCCCAGTCTGGGGAAATACAGCCCGGGAGGAGACAGCAACTCCCTTCCTCTGCCTGGCTTTGGGATTCCGTGACACACACGAGGCACGGGACCACGACAGCAGTGTCACTGGTAAGTTATCATTTTCTGGAGCGAGCAGGTCACACTGCTTCCCCTTCTTCCTGTCGTTCATCTTTCCTTCTTCTGTTTCCCCATTACCTGACAGACAGACTTCCAGCACTCCAGACCATCAGGAGCAGAAAGCCAGGAAGGGGTCTGCCATGCTCTGAACCGAAGTAGCTGGAAATTAAAAAAAGAAAAGAAAAGAAAAGAAAAAAAGGAAGGAAGGAAGGAAGGATAGATAGATCAGACCATGGAAACGGACCAGCCCATCAAGGCATTTTCCGGCCAAGTCTGATGACCTATGTTCAATCCCCAGACCCAACAGGGTGGAGAACAAAAAAAAAAAATCTGACTGCTGAAAGTGGTCCTGCCCTCCACACATGTGTCCGAGCATGTGTCCTGGCATGAGCATGAGTAAAGATCCTGCCTGTGTTGATGGGAGAAATAACAGAAAACCTCCGAGTCAGGTCCAAATCGTGCCTCCTCTTTTGTCCTCTGTCTTCAGCTCTCGCCCTCTCCCTCCCCATCTGCTGCTGCCTCTCTCACGGCCAGATCCAGTCTGCTGGCCATGTTCAGTCTAGACCCTTCCAGATACCTCTGGCCGTGCTCTCCCTCGTATCTACAATAAAAACCTTCCTTTTAACCACACCACGGAGCGGTCACATCATCAGTTCACCCACTCCGGAAGTCATCCACACTGGGATTCCCAGGAGGAAACAGGAAGTGAGTTTCTCTAGATGCTTATGATAAAAAAAAAAATATGCAGGGAAAGATTCATTAAAGGATCTACTCTGGGGCTGGAGACGGGGTGCAGTGGGTAAAGCGCCTGCCGCGCAATTGTGAGGACCTGAGTTCAGATCCCCAGAACCCATGTAACACAAGTCTGTGATCTCTGTGAGACTTCTACCATGAGATGGGAGATGAACACAAGAGAATTTCTGGGCGATCACAGGCCAGCTAGCCTGGTGTACACTACACACAGCAGCAGAAGACAGACCCTGTCTCAAAAAAAGGAGAAGGCTAGGAACTCCGACCGGAAGATGGCCTTCGATGCCATGGAGCTGGAGTTACGGGCTGCGGTGAACGACCCAGTGTGGGTGCTGGGAACTGAACCCGGGTCTACTGCTGAGCCATCTCCCCAGCCCAATTACGTTTTTTCATTCTTTTTAACTTTGGGGGCATGCTCCCACGTGCCACATTGTGAGTGTAAAGGTCAGGTGACAACTTGTAGTTAGTTCTTTCCTTCTAACCATGTTGGTCCCAGGGATTGAATTTATAGCAACAGGCTTGGTTGCAAAAGCTTTTACCTGCTGAGCTATCTTACAGGCCGGGCTTTTTTTTTTTTTTTTTTTTTTTTTTTTTTATGAGCAAAGGTGCTGTATTGATTTGTTCTCACGGCAGTAAATGTGCGGTATAGAAAGGCTAGCACACCCACTGCTTTAGTAACAACTGAGATCACTCTGCGTCAAGGCGGTGGATGAAGCGACTATATTGGCGCAAATGCCGAGGATTCTTTTTAACTTCTAATATAAAGGGAAAAATGTGTATGCCAAGGGTCATAGCACATGCCTGGAACCCCAGCCCTTAGGAGGCTAAGGCAGGAGGATTGCTGTAGTTGAGGTCAACCTGGGATCTATAGCAAGACCTTGTGTCCAAAACCAAGAAGAAGAAGAAGTGGGAAGGGAGGAGGAGGGAGGGGGGGAGGAGAAGAAAAAGAGAAATGGGGGAGGAAGAGGAGAAGAGGATGTGAACTTGCTACATCGCTGAAGACTGCTTGACTTCCTTCTCCTCCTACCTCGACTACCCAAGTGCTGGGGCTACAGGCATGTGCTACCACCACCTGCAGATAGAAATGCTTTTCCTCGGTGCATCTGGAAGTTTCTACCCATGCGTACATGGCGAAGACTGTTTTCCTTTACCACAGTACGGGTTCTGGGTTACAGCCCCAGTACCAGCATGCTTGGCACTATATTAATTTCAGTGGAATAATAAAGTCACACAGTCAGCCTTCTTCTCAGTGATTTTAAAAAAAGAGAGACAGAATCCATAAATCCAAAATGACATAGTAATAGTGTGTATTTGTATGTGTGTGTGTGTGCGTGCGTGTGTGTGTGTGTGTGTGTGTGTGTTGTATATGTACATGGATGTGCTTGTACATGAGCCCATGTGTGAGCCCATTGAGACCAGAGGAGGGCATCAGGTACCCTTTTTCATTTCTTTCTACCTATTCCCTTTGAGGTAGAGCAGCTACCCAAATCTGGGCCTCATGGTGAGGTTTTTCAATCCTGGGGTTACACGCACACATGGGAACATGACTGGCTTGTTACCTGTGTGCTGAGCTCTGAACTCAGGTCCAGCGGGCATTACTGCCCACTGAGTCATCTCTCCAAGCTCCCCACCCACCCGTCCATATTGATACTAAAATAACATCTTTTGGGGCCAGTGAGATGACTCCTTGGGAAAGGTGTTTGCCATGTAAGCCTATTGACCTGAATTTAATCCTGGAATCCTCATCAAGGTGGATGGAGAGAACCAACAACTCCACAATTAACTCTGTGTGTGTGTGTGTGTGTGTGTGTGTGTGTGTGTGTGTGTGTGTGTGTTTCTCTGACCTACACACACACACACACACACACACACACACACACACACACACACACACTGGCATGAGTGCATACATGTTGCACACAATTACAATAACAACAATAAAATTAAAAAAAAACATTTTGCAAAGGAGGGAAAGAAGGGATAATGGTTTTTTGTGGAGGTATTTTACTTTTGATTTGGGGGATTGTTTTTTGGGTTGTTGGCTTTTTTTGGTATGTAAAATGGTGTGTTTGTTTTTGTTTTTACATGAAGAGGGATCCAGCAAGTTAATGTACAAGAAATAAGAGGAGTGTAGCATCATTATTTTTCAACCTCAAAAGTAGTGGCTGATCTATGCAAAAATGATCCATGGATGCAAACATCATGGAGTAGTGGGTAACCGACTGGCTATCTACTTATTTAAAGTTATCTACTGTAGAACTGTCTTACGGTTTTGTTTTGTTTTGTTTTTTAATGGTTGGAATGAAAAATAAGAGGGAGGGGGAAGAACACGAGGGAACCGGATGGTCAAGTTGGGAGAAGAACGGAGTGGGAGAGCAATGAAAGAGATATCTTGATAGAGGGAGACATCACAGGGTTAGGGAGAAACCTCGTGCTAGGGAAGTTCCCAGGAATCCACAAGGACGACCCCAGCTTAGACTGCTAACAATAGTGGAGAGGGTGCCTGAACTGGCCTTCTCCTGTAATCAGATTGGTGAATACCCTAACTGTCATCACAGAGCCTTCATCCAGTAACTGATGGAAGCAGATGCAGAGACCCACAGCCGAGCACCAGGCCGAGCTCCAGGAGTCCAGTCGAAGAGAGGGAAGAGGGATTCTATGAGCAAGGAGCGTCAAGATCATGATGGGGAAACCTACAGAGACAACCAAACCAAGCTAGTGGGAACTCATGAACTTCAGACCAATAGCTGTGAAACCCACATGCTTGGGACTGGACTAGGCCCTCTGCATATAAGAGACAGTTGTGTAGCTTGATCTGTTTGAGGGTCCTCTGGCAGTGTGGTCAGGATCCATCCCTGGTGCATCAGCTGGCTTTTTGGAGCCCATTACTATGGTCAGACACCTTGCTCAGCCTTGATGCAGTGGGGAGGGGCTTGGTCCTCCCTCAACTGAATATACCAGGCTTTGCTGTCTCCCCATGGGAGCCCTTACCCTTTGGAGGAAGAATTGGGGGGAGGGCTGGGAGGTAGCAGGAGGAGGGATGAGAGGGGGATCTGTAGTTGTGTGTAAAATGAATAAACAATTTTTAGAAAAAAAGGGAAAAAGAAAAAATAAAGTGAATGTTTAAAAAAAAAACATGAGGGAGGGAGAGAAAAAAGAGAACAGGTGAACGTATTTGTGTAAATCCCCAAATTTTAACATGCGCAGCTATCAAAAAATAAAAATAATTAAAAAAAAATATAATGGTGGTGGGGCTGGAGGGATGGTTTATTCGTTAAAAGCACTTACTGCTGTTCCAGAGGACTTGAGTTTAGTTCCCACACCCGTCTAAGGTGGCTTACAATGGCCTGTTATCCAGCTCCTGGGGAAATCTAGCGCCCTCTTGTGGTCTCCAAGGGTACTGCACTTACACGCATGTATGTGCACACATACACATGCATAAATAAAAATATAAAAACTAAAGTAAATCTTTCAAACACACGGGTACTATGTGGTCTTTTACAGAGCATTGTGCCTGCCTCTGAATTTGGTAAAAGATTTCTGGAGGATAGGTGTGTTAGTTTTCCATTACGGTAGCAAATGCCAGGGATAGGGCAACTTTAAAACGTTAAAAGTTCGTGCTTTGGCTCACAGTTGGCTCACAGTTTTAGAGGTTTGTGTCTATGACTGCTATGGCCCTGTTGCTTTAGGTATGTGCCAAACCATCCCATCATAATGACCAAGGAAGCCTGCTTACCTCATGGCCAAGTGTGAAAAAGAGTAAGAGATTGAGGCTAGGGGTGTGGTTCAGTGGGTAGAGCACTTACCTAGTATGAATGAAGCCCCAGGTACCATCCCTAGCATCACATTAAACAGGAATGGTTATGTGAGTGTGTGATCCCAGCACCCATGAGGTAGGGGCAGGAGGATCTGGAGTTCAAGGTCATCCTTAGCTATATAGTAAGTTCAAGGCCATCCTGGTTTATGAGACCCTGCATCAAAAAAAAAAAAGAAACAAACAAACAAACAAAACAGAAGTTGGGGGTGCTATGGAGACAGCTCAGCAGGTCAAAGCTCTTGCTAAGCAATCATGAGAACATGAGTCAAGATCCCAGCACCCATGTAAAAAGCCAAGTGAAGCCTATAATCAGCTACAGGTAGGAGGGGACAGAAACAAGAGGTTTACTGGAGCTTGATGGGCACCAGGCTCAGTGAGAGATTCTGTCTCAAAGACATAAGGCAAAGAGTGATTGAGTAGGCTACTCATGCCCTCCTCTGACTTCCATGACTTCCTACACACACACACACACACACACACACACACACACACATACACACACACTGTACTATAGTGTCACACACTGGAACAATGATACCACAGTTATATTTTCGTGATTGTGTGTGTGTGTGTGTGTGTGTGTGTGTGTGTGTGTGTGTCACACGTTTATCAGGGTGTCATATGTTAGGCTCAGTGACAGTCGACTAGGGAAAAGGAAGAAGAGAAACAAGGAGAGAGAGCTAGGCAGGTCTAAGCATGGTGGGACACTCCAGCACTCAAGAGGAGACTGGGCTAGGAGGATCATCATGAATCTGAGGATAGCCTGGGCTACATAGCGACACCCTATCTAGAAAACAGCGAGAGTTGAGAAAAAGTAAAGCATCCTTGTTTTGCAGAGGAAAAAGTTCAGTAGAAATTACTTCATTTCAAGTGGTTTAACTAAAAAAAAAAAGTAATGTAAGTTTAAATGTGTAAAACTATAAATTGACTTTATAACTAAAGTAGAACCAAAGTGCACACAGTATATGTTACAATTCACCAGAGAGGGAAAAAAAATTTTGAAAGTTCCTATGATTTAAAAAGGTAAATACATAGAACATTCACTTTTAAAAAAGAAAAGTGTGCCAGGCTAGGTACAAGAAATGAAATAAAATAAAGTAACTGAGAGCAGATACTCACTGATGGGAGCAGTGGGTTAGATGCTGCTGAAGGACCTCTTGAGTGGGCACCATGGTGCTCACCTGTCATCCAGCACCCGGGGGGCTGAGGGAGATGATTCCTGAGTTGGAGGCAAGTCTGGGCTACACAGTGAGTTCTGGGTTAGCTTGGGCTACAGAGCTGTCTAAAAACAAAAACAAGACACCAGTAACTAGCCAGGCAGTGGTGGCACACACCTTTAATCCCAGCACTCAGGAGGCAGAGGCAGGTGGATCTCTCTGAGTTCATAGGACAACCTGGTCTATAAAGCAAGTTCCAGGACAGCCAGGACTGTTACACAGAGAAACCCTGTCTCAGAAAAAAGAAAAAAAAAAACACTAACTAATCTGGTAATGACTTAGTCAATTAATAGATTAGTTAATTTTTTTTAGTAAATTTAATTAGTTACTTGTTAGTTGGATAATTAATTAGTTATTTGGTGGGTGATTATTTAATCAGTTATTTGTTCATGAAGTGGAAAACTATTTGTAACACATGTCAAAAATTAGAGTGCACACATCTTTGCCTCCATACATTTGTTTTATAAGAATGCATTTTATGGGACAGGCAA